TAAGTCTATGGGTAAAAAGTACAATAATGGAAATAAAAAAATAGACTGCACAAGATTAATAATAGATTAAATAATGCAAATGAAAAGATTAGTGATTTTTAAACATTTGGATAGAAATTATCCAAAAATGAAACAGAAGGAAGGAAGGAGAGAGAGAGAAAGAAAGGACTAATAACAAACAACAGAAATTCATTTTGCTGTGGGACATTATGAAGTGACCTAATTTATATGCTATTTAAGTTTCCAAATGGGGGTGGAGTATATGAAGAAATAATCGATACAATTTCCCCAAATCTGATGAAAGCAAAAATCAGAGAATCAAGAACCACAATAAATTCTAACCACATTAATCATGAAGAAAATTACATCAAACATGTTACAAAGAAATTAGGAACACTGTAATTGGTCACAACATGAGTTAGTATAAAATAAATGTAACATTTCAATTGTCTTCAAACAAATAAATAACTGTCTGCAGCACAAATAGCAGCAATGTAATCTGGGGTCTGTAAATAAAATGTATGATAATGATGACAAAGGTTAGGATAAAAGAAATGAATGTATGATTGCATAATTCTCATACTACAAAGTGACACAATACTAATTGAAGGTAAGCTATGATAAGGTAATGATGTATACTACAAATCCTAAAGCAACCATTAATAAAGTATCCAGATAGAACAAGTGAAAAAAGAGCACAATGATTTATTTGGATTTAACCATGTCAAAATTACATAAAATGTAAATGGTCTAAGTATCCCAATGAAAAAGCAGAGATGATCAGACTGAAGTAAAATATAAGACACAACTATATGCTACCAATAAAAACTCCATCCCAAATATAAAGACATAAAAAAGTTAAAAGTAAAAGGTTATATATACCATGCTAACATTAGTTCAAATAAAACTTGAGTAGATATATTAATATCAGACAATGGTGATTTTAATGAAGATTATTACCATGGATAAAGAATGTCAATTTATAATGATAAGGAGGCTAGTTCATGAAGAGGACATAACAATCCTACATGTACTGAACAGATGTTCAAAAAAATGAAGTTAGCAAATTATAATGTGAAAAGGAGAAATAGGTTCAGTTATTGTTGGAGATTTCAACATCCCTATTTTAATAATTGAGAAAACAAGTAGATGAAAATAAAAAATAAAACTAGAAATTCTGAACAATACCATCTGTTAGCTTTATCTGACATTTATATACCCTGAGACATCATACTATTTATTCTTTTATGTACATAGGGAATACTTACAGAGCTACAAAACAAACCAGTAAATTTAAAATAATTCCAACTGTACAACGTACGTTCTTTGACCACAATGAATATAAATTAGAAGTCATTAACAAAAAGATGTGTGAAAAATTATCAACTATGTGGAGACCAAATAACATACTTCTAAGATTTAATGAAGCAACTCTTGTCTATTTTGAAAAAATAATGGTGCATTTCTTTCTTCCTCTGAAATTATGACTATAATATACACTACATGGTTTCTGCCTGGGCTGCAAAACAATTCAGGGTTAAACAAAAAGTTTAAACACAACAATCACATCTATGTCTAAATAATTTTCTCAACTCAATTTGAACACTTAGTATGTGATTTTAAAAAATCTAGGGATACAACGTGAATACAAACAGTCTTTGCTCTTAAGTCCAGGTTTATTGGCTGGCATGAAGTTTGTTTCTTATCTAGAGCTTCTCAAAATCAAAACAAGGAAGTGCCACTCTGATTTAGCCTTAGTGTTAGGTACAACTAAGAAACAAAAATAAAGAATGATGTAAAAAATAATTATGTTTATGCTATAAAAAAATTGCTAATTCCTCAGCCCCCCAAAATAAGTTTAAAAAACAACAAAGAAATGAGTGAATCTTTCAAAAAGCGTTTAACAGATTTTTCATAGTTCAGTAATAAAAACAACCCACAAATAGTTATCACACATCACACTAGTGAAAGAAAACATCACTGCATTCAGAGGGCAGTGAAAAGTGCCTAGAGAGTGAACTTGGTTCATTACCCTGTGAAGGTCTAGAATTGTCTAGATCTTGATTCATAATAATGTATTAAAAGCATGGCTATGTTCACTGGGCTCATCTGAATAAGCTGACTTGCAAATTCTGGAAAACTAATGGCCACCACTCTCTTGGAAAGGCCAGGCTCTTTTCTCAGGGCAGGAGGAGCTCCAGTGCAGGAACTGTGGGGAAGGCCTAAAAATCTGGGACAAATAGAACCTTTTTTTTTTGTTTTAAAGATTTATTTATTTATGCATACAGAACTGGGGTACAGGCCAGAAGTGTGGGGGTGGTGAGAGGCTTAACTAAAGACAGAGTGGGGAACAGAACAGGCAGATCAACGAAGCACACTGCTGAGGGGAGCAGCGGGCGGGTCAGGAGAGATCTGCCGCGCCATGTGGTCACCTTTGGGGCAGGGATGGAACTCATGCTGAAGTGGCTTTAGCTTCTTAGTGCTGTGCTCTAACCCGCTGCACCACCAGGGAAGGCCCACAAATAGAATTTTGCTCCAAACAATCTCTCCAGCCCCTTATTTCCTCCTGTCTTGTTAGGTTGATACTTGTTTGTTTCTATATTTTTGATGACAACAAACCAAAACAACTACCACCACCCCTCATAACTCCTTTCACCCTCTCTCCCAACCTCGCCTCTCTCCTTAACATTGGTAACCTGCTTATCAGTGTCCACTACTTTACTTTTATTTTGTTTTGTCAATCCATCCACTTTGTTTCCTCATATTATGCGAGATATTCAGTATTTGTCTTTATCTTTCTGGCTAACTTTGTATAATCCTCTCAAGTGCCTTCTTTTTTGCTGCGAAAGGCAAAATTTTATCTTTCCATATAGCTGACAAGTGCTCCATAACACACCTTCTTTATCCAGTCATCTACCAGTGGGCTCTTAGGTTGCTTCTTTATCTCAGCTACTGCAAGTAAGACACAATAAACACTAGGGAACCCATAAAATTTTGAATTGGTTTTGATACCCCAGAACTAGGATCTCCGGATCTTAGATTATTTTCATCATGAGCTTTCCAAAATGGCAACACCCGTTTAAATTCCCATGAAAAGACCCATCTTTTCATATCCTTGCCATTCTCACAGTATGCGATGATATCTCACTGTGGTTTTGATTTGCATTTCCTTTATTAAAAATGAGGAACAAATTTTGCTGTTTGTTGGTCATCTGTATAACCTCTTTCAAAAAGCAACTATGCAGATCCTTTGCCCATTTTTAAACTGAATTTAAAAAAAATTTATGCATTTATTTATTTTTGGTTAAGATTGGAAAAGTTCATTCTATACCATGGATATTGTGAATAGTGCATTTATAAATCTTTACTGTCTTTATTTATCGAAATTCTCTAATAGTTCTTTTTCAAATGTGGCCTTTCAGTTCTACTCCTTTTCCAGAAATAGCTGCTAGAAGCCCTCATTTCTAAGGATTATGTCTGTGAATTAGGATTCCCAATCCAGAGCAATGGCCCTGATGAGATGGAACCTGAAGGTGTCATCAGAGTAACTGGAATGAGATTGCTGACAACTTTGATGACTCAGTGGCCCTTTTCTGTGACATCTACAGCTATGGTTTTGAGAAGCCCTCTGCCAACCAGGAATGAGCCATTATTCCTGTATCAAGATTATGATATGATTACTCAAGCCTAACCTGGAAGTGAGAAAAACGGCCACTGTTGTCATACCAATTCTGCAGCAGACTGAATTAGATCTAAAGGCCACCCAGGCCTTATGCCTGCACCCACTAGAGAGCTGGCTCAGTAGATACACAATGTGGTCATGACATTAGGAGACAATATGGGCTCCTCCTGCCATGCTTGTATGGGGTGGGGGGCAGTGTCCATACAGAGGTGCAAAAGCTGCAGATGGAAGCTTCCAGTATCACTATGGGCACCCTGCCCATGTATTTGACATGCTAAAATGGAGATACCTGACTTCCAAGCGAGACTGTGTGCTCTGGATGAAGCTGATGAAATGTTATGCTGTGGGTTCAAGAGCCAGTTTGTAAGCTAAAAGCCCAGTGCTAAAGCGGGGTTCTGTGGAGGTTGGCCTTGAGGCAGTGTAGGGTTCAGTCAGAAAGGCAATTCAAGAGTGCATTAGGAAAATCTAAGATAAAAAAATTGGAAAATCCAGCATCAATTGACAGTGGCAGAAATTAGAACCAAAGTGGGACCGTGGAGTACAGCAGTGAGACGGGGTATGGCTTACAAACAGGATGGAAATCTTGAGGACCGTTTTAGGTAGATAACTACCTAAAACAGCTCTGAATTATATGCAGCTTAATACTACTGGTAGGCACATTGCGGGGGTATTTGGGGATGCACTGAGGGTCAGACGTCGGCAGACATCTCAGGGTTCATACTATACACTGTTGAGGGAAGTGAAGGCAAGGGGAGAGGGCCTTGGTCAGATCTGTGTTCAGATTCTCAGTCCTCGGGGCTGAGTGGAAGGTACCTGGGAGAAAAAAAAGACTGAAGGTACAGTGAACAGGTTACTATGAAAGTCCAGGTAGGAGGTGTGTGAGCCTGATACGAGGCCAACGCCATGAGGATAATACCTAGAAAGATAGTGGCAATGGACACATTTCTGGAAAAAACTTTTGATAGAATATGACTTACATGGTGGCAGATAAAGGAACAAAAAGAGTGAATAAAGACTGAGGTTTTGAGTTACAACACAGGATGAAGGGATGCTGCCTAGCAAGAAATAAAGAAAGAAGAGTAGGTAGCAACTGCTAACAGAATCACAATGCAAGGAGTTCACAACTGACAATTCTAATACACAGACAAAATACCTTCAAGAGTCTAAGTGACACAACAGAGCCTTACTTGCTACCACCTACCACCTAAACCTTAAATCACCTCAGTTCCATTTTAACAATGCCTATAATCCAAGCCTATAAGGGAAAACAGAGTGGTGAGCTGTAAGGAATGAATTTCATGAAACTTTCAGCACTTACCTTTACGGCCAGTATCTTGCCACTTGGGACATGATATGCTCTATGGAAAGAAGAAAAGAAAAATCACTTGGGATCATTAAATAACAGAATGGTTAAGGGCATAAATGTAAACCTGAACATATCTGCAACAAGAGGATCTATGAGACTTTCAAAGAACACTACTAATACTAGTAGCTTCTATTGGACTTAATGGTTTACACAATGATTCACTGTACATTACCTTAGTCTGAGATAATGCTGGTGTTGTTATCCTCTTTTTAGAGAACTCTGAGCACAGATAAGTTAAGCAATCTGCTCAGTGGCACAAAGTCAGCACATGGCAGAGCCACACCTCAAGCCCAGGTGAGGACTCCAGATCCCTCATGACGGACTGTCACGGTGTATGACTGTCACTCACTGTATGGGTCTCTAAGCTCTGTACTGAGCACTGCACAGAACCATAAATATGTTATATGAAATTCATTCTTTTTTCCTAATTGAGTGGCCAAAGGTCACTCAATCATGGAAGATAAGCTCAGTCTTTATTAATTGCTGTGGAGAACATAGGTATATTTCATTTAAAGGAAAGTGAAAAGTACAGTAATTGGCAGTTGTTTAATTCACCAAAGAGTTCTATAATACTATCTGCTAACTTTAAATATCAACCAGCCTATTAAATATAAACATTAAATTTATAAAACTTAAGTTTTATAAAAAGTTTTTATTAAAAAAACCAAAAGTTTTTGTATTTCATATCATGTGATACATTTTATAAGCAGAACTCCTTTATTTTACTATGTTTAGGACAAAATAGTTTACTACCTATGTCAACATCAGACTTTTACAATATGAAACTGTATTTGAGGTGACAACCTGATTCAAGGTAAATCTGAATTCATGTAATAAACTCATATATGTAAAAAGTTACCCTACATCTTTCTTTTTTTTTTTTTTTAAAAGATTTATTTATTTATTCGTACAGAACTGGGGTACAGGCCAGAGATGCAGAGGGTGAGAGTTTTCACCAGAGACAGAGCGGGGTACAGAACAGGCAGATCGACGAAGCACACTGCTGAGGGGAGCAGCGGGCGGGCCAGGAGAGGTCTGTCCCGCCATGTGGATCTCTTCCACGGCAGGCGGGGATCCAACTCATGCGGAAGTGGCCTAAGCCTCTTTGTGCTGTGATTTAACCCGCTGAGCCACCAGGGAGGGCCTTTCTTTCTTTCTTTCTTTCTTTCTTTTTTTAATTATTACAAAGGTTTATTTTTACATCATTTTGCACATTTTTTTTTCCATCTCGATTGTAATCCCCGCGGGTTTCCCATCACCAAATCACCCGTGTGCCACCACCATAGTTCTATATATTTCTTAATGGCAGAGAAGTTGTTGGATTTAGCTAATATGCAATGTGATTTGAGGGAACTTAGTAACTATTTCATGTATATACAAGTAATATAATAGGTAAGATTTAATTATATTATTTTCCCCTTGTATACCACATATTTATTCTTTCAATTTCAACTTTTTTTAATATCACAGAGCAGACTAACCAAGGACTAAATATATATAGCTGAATATATATCACAAGAAATCCAAAGTTATAAAAAGAGCGTATTTTTGCTTTGGACAACAAACAACACCTGGACTTTGGAGACCAATGTCAGCAATTAGGAAATGATTAGCAGATTGCCTAATATACAATATATACCACACTGGACAGTCTGGCAACTTAATTAGCTTGTCAGGAAAGTTGATCTCTTTTCCAAAAGAAAGGTCTCCTATTTCCAAGTGGATTAAAAGAGGAGGACTGATGATTTAATTATGACGCACGCTAATTCATCCGTGGAAGTTTGGGTTCAATTTCGAGCAATAAAGATGCTGTGTGGTTTGGTTTACAGTGCAATGACAGTACCAATTTAACATTTAATCATCAAGGAGAAGTTGATGATAAAGGCAATGTCAGGTATGAGTCGAATGTCCCTTAACTTTGCAAATGGCATTCTACCTGGAGAAAAGAAATTTGTTTACTTTCAACGGATACTGCATCTCAATTGCCTTGACCTTCCTCAACACATTAACTGTAAAGTGATTAATGAAGTTTGAATGGAGGCTCTGGTTACACCAAAAGACAACTATACACCTCTGCATTGTTTTAATTAACAGCTAACACTTCAAATTAGTTTGTTGTTGCCACAGTAATTACTTCTTCCAATGAGTGCATGGAGGGAGCATTTTTATGAGATATTTTTAGAGGTGAGTCCTTGAGCGTTCCATTTTGTTTGAGGCTAACACAAACCTTCTGGGAATAGCCCCAGCCCTTAACATCGAGCACACAACATATACACTTAAGGATGGCAAAGCTAGTAGATGGGCATCAAATTTTTGAGTATTTAAAATAGCAAGGAGACTAGGAAGTAAACACTTGCTATCCATATTTTCTTTTTATTTGGACCAATATGTTCTAGATGAATGGAGAAAAAAGTTGGTATCTTCCTTTGACAGTGGGAATACCAAAAACTATAAAAAAAAATTCAGCAAGTATTGGCAAAACCAATGTTGGAACTGAACTGTGGCAGAAGATTTTTAAATCGGCCCTAACGCAACATACAATTAACTGCACATGTTAAGTTCTTAACTGCACTTTAGGCAGGGAAACCTGTAATTAAAAACTTATTAAGAGGTTGGCCTATTTCAGCCAGAGTAAGGGCCATCACATCTGAATCTCTCTAGCCAAGGAAGCAGTCTGTAAACATTGCTGATCTATCATGGGGTAAGAAGAGTGTTTGTGCTGGTTCTGATGCCAGCTCTACTTAACAATGCAAACTTTGACTACTAATAAGTCTCACCATGCCTCAGGCATTTCAAGTCTGATATTGGAAAATTAGTCCCTACCTTGTAGCATTGTGAGGATTCAATAAGATAATATAGATAAAACACTGAGGACATGCATGACACATACTAAGTATGTATTTCAAATGTTTAAAAGCATGGAAGTTTTCAGGGTAGCTAGATATTTTAAGATTAAAACCTGCTAAAACAGACCAAAAGAGCAAGTGTGATCTTTATTTCTACATTGTAAGACCTAGGCAATATGCTCTATTAATGAAGGCTAACAAAGCTTTAACAATGAGTGCTGGTTAAAGGCTATGAGACAGCATTAACTGTTAAGAAAAGCAAGAATTATTGCTTCCTGTTGGACAAGCTTTGAAGACAAAGAATTCAACACTCAATGTGATAGCTTATGCCATGGTACAAATTCTCAATTTGTTACCATGTTTTTTATGCCTAGAAAGGAATGTAACTTCTTGACACCACAGATAGGTATTATAAGTGCTACATTCAGATATCCATCTCAGCAAAAACACCTGGGAAATCACTCCTCCACACTATTTACAGTAGCATTGCTTACAATAATACAATAGCTATGATTTAGAAGCAACCTAAATGTCCACTGATAGAGGACTAGATCCACCTATAAGGAAAGATGAAATCTAGGAACTAGAAGACATAGTTAAATACTAGATGATTTCACTTTTAATGTATGTACAAAAAAAGATCCTTTTAAGCATGACTTTTCTGAGTTTATGAATTTCCATAAATGGTATTTTCCTTACTATTCAGCTGTATTATTTTTATTAAAAAGTGAGCCATATATTATTCAGACATGTGTATTTTAATTTTCAGATATGTGAGAAGGCTATCTGAATGGTTTCTAAATTATTGATTTATAAACTAATTCTATTGTAGTAAGAAAAAGTGATCTGTGTTATAGACTTTCAGACTTGCTTTAGTGCAGATCCTAGACATTGCCCTCGTACATGTTTCTTAAAAATAATTTCCCTGTGCCCTCCTTGGTTGTGCAGTGGGTTAAAGCGCAGCACTAACAAACTAAAGCCACTTCCACATGAGTTTGATCCCCACCTACCCTGGAGGTGACCCACATGGTGCAGCAGACCTCTCCTGCTCCCCTCAGCAGTGTGCTTTGGTGATCTATCTATTCTGCTACCCACTGTCTCTGGTGAATCCTCTCACTGCCCCTGTACCCCTGGCCTGTACCCCAGTTCTGTATGCACAAATAAGTCTTTTTTTTTTTAGATTTATTTATTTATTCATACAGAACTGTGGAGGGTGAGAGGATTCACCAGCAACAGAGTGGGGTGCAGAACAGGCAGATCGACGAAGTACACTGCTGAGAGTAGCAGCGGACGGGCCAGGAGAGGTCTGCCACGCCATGGGGTCACCTCTGGGGCAGGTGGGGATTGAACTCATGTGTAAGTGGCTTAAGCTTCTTTGTGCTGTGCTTTGACCCGCTGCGCCACCAGGGAGGGCCATAAATCTTCTAAAAAAATAATAATTTTCCTGTACCAAAAATAATGTAGAATCTCAATTTGATTGATGAGGAGATCCATGTATCTCATGATCACACTCTTAATTATGGTGTCAAAATCTAAATCCTTACTATTTTTGGTCTGATTGATATGCTCAGAGATATTCTCTCAGTCTTAGAAGACCGGATTTATCAAATTTTCCTTGAAATGTCAGTTTCTTTTTTGTATTACATATTTTAAGGTTATGTTATCAGTTACATATATGTTTAGGGCTGTCATATTCATAGTCTCTTTTTCTTCTTTCACCATAAAATAGTTTTTTGTATCCCTAATAACACTTTTTGCCTGAAAGTCCAATCTGCATAGTAAGTTATCTTTTGATTAGTTTTTTCCTGTATCTTTTCTCCCATTCTTCTTCATAGAACTTTTTTCTGTTTTAGTCTTAGGAATATATCCTAAATAGTCTAACACTGTGCATATAGCTACATTTTAAAAAATTTAATCTAACCAATCTATTAATTGGCAGGATTAAATATACTTTTAACTTACTGTAATTACTGTTAAATACTGGATTTATTTCTGTCACCTTATTAAATTACCTTATATATCTCTCCCTTTATTATACTTGATTATTCCTTCTATTTGTTTTGAAGTTACATATTCCATTCATGGTTAGTTGTCATCCATACAATTTTACTATCTTATCTGACTTAAAATATAAATTAATTGCTAT